TTAAAAAAAAAAAAAAGGTCGAGTGACCGAACAGAGAACGGCAAATGTTCAAATGTCACGAACTGTAGAAATCGTGTAGGCTGGTCATTTTACATCGACCATATTTCGCACAATTCGTACTTCGGACTTATTTTCGATCTTTTTCCTGATGCGTTTGGATGGATAAACGAGATTGACCCGTGAGGGAAAAACCCTGCTTACTATTATTCAATGAAGTCCGTGGCTATGTTATTTTCTTTTCCGCGGAGTAAGAACCCGCTTTGAAGCCCGACACGGAAATACGTAAAAGGTGTGAAAAATCCTAGAGCAAAATTTTAGATGAAATCATGTTGTTGCGTCGAAGGAAAAACGCCGACAACAATTAACATAGAGATCTTGATTGCACTGGATCGCTAGGTTTTACATACAAGAATTAAGCGATTGTCTTACCTCCATCGAAGACGTGATATTCTTCTTAGGCTTGACAGGGACCACCAAGTCGTCATGAATTTTGAAGCTCAGCTGGCGAGAAATTTTTCTTCTGGCTGATCTCGGGTGCACGCATGAACGGTTGATATTCACTGTTGACTTTTTCCTGGCAGGACTAGTTGAAGTCGGCGAACTTTTATGACGAATTTTAACGTCAATTTTGCGCCGTTTCACGCATCGTTGCGCCACGTGCAGATAAGTCAATTACAAAAACCAACAGAGCCCGCAAAAACCGGTTTGATGAGGTATTTGGTTTCAAAATCGCATGGAAGTAAGGCTTGCAACCGCCGCGTCCAGAGGGTCTTTTTTTTCTCTCTCGTCAGGATCTCGATCGCAGCTTCGCTACGACAAAAGAAAAAACAAAAAAACCTCTGGCATCCAGGGTAACAGGATATGTGCTTTGATGCCTAAAGGCATGCCATTAGTTTACGCAGAACTTCATTATCTATTAAACTTTATTGCCATTGATGACTGCATGCCTTTCAAGTCAAGAAGACTGACCGTCGCAGTCGTTTTACTTACCACTTCAATCCCCAACACGACTGTGACAAATATCCAAATTAGATTGTTATGCGAAGACATCCAGCAGCTTAAAGCAAAATCGAAAGTTTAACACAATAATAAAGAATCTCTCATTTCCAAAATTGCTAACTCTCCAAAATTACAAAATGATGGATACATGTACATTGAATCACACGTTCTGAGACCGTGACAAAAGCAGCAAATAAAAGGGAATGGGAAAAGAACCGTTGAGAAAGTGCTTACTATTCCTCATCGACAAAACTCTGTATTCCATCTTTTCCTGCAGCAATACTCAGTGACAGGGCGACAATGGCAGCGGGGAGACCTGCAGTAGAAGCATATAAAAACGCTGATAGCAAGGGTGTACCAGAACAGACACTGAAGCTAAAAGGTGCTCAAGAACTTACCCCATGACATCACGTGATACATGCGCATCTTGTTTTCGATGTTGTAAACCTTTACAACAAGCAAGTAAAGGTAGAATCCCTCGACGAGCATCCAACAGAAAGCTGCCATCAGAAAGTACTGCAGAAGAGCGGCTACTGTAACACAAGCACCCTGTGGAATAACGCAGTAAATTAATGTATAATTGATTAATTACTGATTGAGTCGTCACTTCATCATGTCTACATACTCTTCCAGATAAGCTTCCACACTCCTGATCTTGAAAAGGCTTCTTACCGCGTTTTCTGTGGCTCCAATTCCAGCAAGAAAGCTTATCTGTCCAGCTCCGAGGGATCCGGCAAGACTTATTCTGATTTGAGACAGAGGCTGATGCATATCGCTGATAAAAATAAATAAATAAATAAATAAATAAATAAATAAATAAATAAATAAATAAAGCAAAACAAAATGAAATGCCAATTCTAAATTACTGTTGGACGGTCACCTTGTGCGTGTGACCAAGCTATATATTCCTGTTTTTCTTTCGACACAAATAACCCAACAGGCTCGTGAGTTGTAATGAAGAGCTAACACATCTCTACCCCTCTGCGAGTTTCAAATTTCCTCTTTCATCAATGTAAACCATGCTAATTACAATTGTGAAGCTATCACTGACGCCAACAATCATTCTAAAGAAAGACATTTTAAACAAGAGACCATGATCATGATCTCTTGTTTTACGCTATGTAGAAGAAACTCCCGAGTCTCCCACGTTGTTCTGGTATGTTAGATAAGCCATATTAAAGCCAGCTATGCAGGTCATAAAAAGGATTTCGGATCAAACAGGAAAAGTGGTTTATAACTCATAAGGATGCAGGTACCCGGGAGTGTTCCCATGCATAAGCTATGGGTGTATGGTAAGGGTATAGTTTTCAAGCAGTTTAGTCTCAGATAGGGACTAGTAATCAGAGAGTTTAGTATACGGTAAGGATTTCAGTGTCCCAGAGCCACACCCTCGCTCATAGATTTTCAGAGTACCCCCCAGGTGCAGGCACTATGCCATGCAGGTAGCACGAGCGGTTAACTTGTCAGAGCCTGGGTAAATCTACCCAAGTGCCTCAAATATTAAACATGTAATTCATTTTATTTGGAAAGAGACGGTACCTTTTGTAGGGAGGTGCTCTGGAGAAGTATTTTATTAGTAACTTATTACTCACGTGAGAAGTGCATATGATATTATCGTCAGAGTTATTCCTGTTATGGAGAGAGCTAATCCCACATAAGTAAGAATCCTCAATATCTTCTCATCCGCCTTTGTGAGCTGTCCGTGTTAGAAATAGTAGCATAAAACAGACAATACATGAAGGAATGAAAACCATCAATTTCTTTTTCATACGTGGTAATTCGTATGTTTAGACAAATTAAACTTAGACCAATACTGGGATTGCAAGAGGCGAGGAGACCAAAGGGCTTGCTCTTTTGAACGGGATCGAACAGTCCTAGTCAGATTACGCGAAGACTGGTGGAGGTCTCTGAATTGTATTTTGACTCTCTTTTCTCTTATAGTTCCCATATCTACTCTCTACACCCATCTTACCCTACTATTGGCATCGCTATAGTCGAATAAAACAGTGAAGTGAGTCAAATGATTGCAACTACATTCCGTCTCTTCTGCATTGCTCGTCGATTTTACGGTATGGCATCCTTCTCTAGACCATCCGTCAGGACTGCAACGAAAACGGTTAGCAAAAGATTACCAAAACATTTCAGTCCTCCGGAATGATAAAGTAAAGAGAAGAGCTTCTACTTATACTTTGAATCCTACTTAGGGCCAGGGAATAGGTGACCTTGTCGCACATGAGTGAAAACTAAGCTAGCCAGTATTGTTCTGCATCCTATGACGTATCCATCCTTACAATTTCGATAGGACTTTCGGCGGAATCTCGAAGAACGGTGTCGAGCACTAATCTGCCACAAAAGAAATATTTTCTAAAACATGAATTGTTACTTGATCCTCACTTTTTTTCGTCAACGCCACTCCAAAACACACAGAGTTTCTTGCCATCAGTAACCTCCTGAGAACAGAATTGAATCGACTCAATATTTATATATCTTTTTCAATTAAATGAATGTAAAACCGGGACCAGAACATTTTTGTTGTTGTGTTTACCTTTAGGTGCCTGAACTTCAAGCCGATGTTTTCCTTTAATTTTCCCGGCTTTGGATCTATTGCGACCGCCACTATTCTGGTACTGAGTCGCCTACACAATATGAATATGACAATGTAAGTTAATAAGTTACATGTAACTTATCGAGTTCTCATTTTTGTTGAAATAAAAGCAAATAGTTGTTCGCCCTTTCCACATATTGTATCCCAAATTCATTGCATTAGGAGTCTATGTTGGACTGTAACGAAAGTATTTAGTAGCTGGAAATACAACAACAAAAGTGCATTTCCTGTCATTCTGTGTGCGTTTTAGATCTCTAAAATTGATTCCGACCAGTTTTAGCTTTTAGCTTTTAGCTTTCCTCTCATTCCTACGCTCTTTATGAGGGGTTTAAACCAGCCTTTGCTTAAAAAAGTGCTTTAGTATGCGTACAAAGGCAAGGTCTATCATTATTTATTTAAAGGAAGGAAATAAAGCTTTCTGACTTGTTACCTGGTGTTGTTGTTGTGTCCATTGTTATTGGAGTAATTTCCCACAATTAACTCGTGAAGTTCCTTGTACGTAATTCCAGCTACAACCGTTCCTGATCAAAATAGAGAAAACGTTACATTACAAACATAGCCGAGAATATTGAGAATAAAAATGTCATTTAAGTACCAATAGTTTAAAAAATGTGGCCTTGTAACTAATAAATTTTTGCAAAGTTGTTTTCAGGTAAAGGTAAGAAAAGAAATCAAATACCAGGAGTGGGATTTTTAAGGAAAGTTTTCTACACAAACCATTGTTGTTGAAATTAGATGAGGGAACTTTGATAGAGGCTTGTCTTCCAGCGTCCTCAAGAACAAAGTCGCTAGTACTTTGACGGGAGCCTCGCTGTATAGCCAAAGCTGTGGGGTAAGATGTACAAGAAGTTGTTCAGGGATTTTGACACTACATGCACCATTGATTACGTATAAGTGGCAGTCCTGCTGAGAAAGGTTAGGTCAACTGCGAATCAGAAAAAAGTTAACCTTTATATTTTGTGAAACTAAAGAAATTTGGTGAGTATATAATAAAACCGGAGTGTTTTGTTAAATTACTTGCTTTTCGTTTTTGCTACACGCCAAAATGACCTCAGCCATCTGAGAAAAGGTTTTAAGCCTATAATATACATGTATTTAGCCAAGCCTAAAAGCGGTGCTCCTGGGCCGCGTTGTTCAAAGCCTGATTAAGCAAACCCAAGATAAGTGACAATTTTGATTTGAGTGTTTTTCTTAACTTGGCGGTGAGGCTTTCTGCTTATATTGTTTGGCCTCTTGGTTTGAATAATCTCAAACTACACAAAACATAAGCAGAAAAATTTATACTTTGGATAGCTTTTTTTTTTCCTGGGTTAGCGTTAACCGCCTCAGTTCCGAACAACCCGGCCCGGCCCTGATTGCAGTAAGTTAACCTGGTTTGATCCGCACACTTATGGAAAGGCGGTACTTAGTGCGCGGTTAATTTAAAATAAAAAGGTGAACTCAATGAGCTGTAAACCAATGCCACACGTACCATTAGTTCAAGTATGGCCGCCATGTTGTGTGACGTCGTCGTCGCTGTCGTCGTGCGTGGGAGTCCACGAGCAATACCGCTAGTCATTTTGACCACGAGAAAAGCGATTCACGGTTTCTATGAGTATGGGGCTCCGCTTGGTCGCCCTTCGGGCAACCGGAGCTCCCCTACTAGATACATGTGTGTTAATTCATGACATTAAACAATTTTTTTTTCTGTAAATCTTGAAATCAATGGATTACTCGATTACTCGATCATGCGATTGCTTGATTGCTTTTTCGCCTGATTGATTGATGTTTGTTCATCAATCGTGGGAGTGGCCACTGTATGCGGAACCATTTGTTTGACTATTTTTTCCTTGCCTGCGTTGCATGTAGCGGCGGTACGTAGCGTCTGCGAGGCGGGTAGTCTTATTATTATCGTTATCGTTATCGTTATTTGTCATTGTCATTGTCATTGTCATTGTTATTATTACTCTTATTATTATTATTATTATTATTATTATTATTATTATTATTATTATTATTATTACTATTTACGTGCTGGTATTTTTCGGGGAACAACAAAAAAAAAAATACAAATAAAACTGTAAAATATCTTTCCAGGCCTGAAAACCGAACAGAAAAATTGACATGTCTACTTACCAAGGCTCTTGAAAAAGATTTTTATTTGCGGCGCTGATTTGCTAAGATGGTGATGGCTATAATTAAGCAAAAATCTTTCAAGGCTAACTGTCATCCTTAAGATGGATTCCTTTCGTGTCTTTTTTTGAACTTCCTTCCTATCTATGTTTTTATAAATCTCGGTGATGTCTGTGAACAAACTGACAGCCTCCTGAAAAATGTAGAAAATTGTTCTGGGGTATTGCTATTCCATATTAGTGGAATTCTACTAGTATAATAATGCAAATGCTGCAATCTGATTGGCTGGGCCATTGCACACTATCAGCCACTAGTGTACAGTGGCTTGATGTGGTCGACAAAATGGTAAAGCTTCCTCGTTTCTCCGAAGTTTTGAAAGAACATTTACAAACAAATGGATAATCAAATTCCTCAGAAGACTAAAAGGAGGGCATTTACGGTTTCTTGAAATAAAAAAAAGCTCGAATTTTTTGAAAAAACTGATAAGCGCGTAAGCAACTGCAAATGCCAAATCGAAAATTAATTCAGTCTGCGCGAGTTCTCTAAAGCATGGAGTTTAATACTTAGACCACAAATAATTGGAATCGTTGTTTGAAGGAAATTTCAGTTAAAATTCTACTAAAACAATTAGGTTATTCGCCCTCGATTTCAATGAGGCGATAGTTGATTCGGGCTTCGGCCTCATCAACTATCACCTCATAGAAATCTCGAGCTCATAAACTGATTGTTAATGAGAAATCATACCAACCACAATTAGCATATGAATGAATTTAATTTCCTGTGGCTGTGTTCCTAGCGCGTATTATACATACGCACTCTAAAACAATTATTTTTGCGTGGGTATCCCACATTATTATCATCGGCTCGTGTCTGTTAATGCAAATGACTTTGTATCCCACACATGTACCCTTTGGGTACCTATTTTTATATGTTGTAGCAAGCCCACGACTTTTTTTTACTTCGCAGATTGTGCGCGCGCTTTCTAGTCCATGTGTGCCATACACGAACAGTTTTTTTTTCTGTATCGCGTGGCTCGTACATTACACATACTGCGGAAGAGCCTTTTTAGCCTCATATTTAGTTTATCGTCATAGTGTCACGCATCTAGAGCTGTTTGCTTACCTTTAATGAATTCAGTATGTTAGTCAATATGCCAGCAAATCAACGAAAATAATAGATACCTGCAAGGAAGTGTTTTGCCAGACATCTAATTTGTGCAGTGCAGAAATGAATTTCGTTTCCTGGATGAAGGAGATGGAAATTAATTCAGGTTTATGATCTTCTGTGTGAGTTAATGTATGTGAAAAACTAGGAGTGGCGTGGATCTGCTACGTAACCAACTGTCCACGCTAAAATTAACAGCTGCCCTTTATACTTACCAATGTTGCTGTTGTTGCCGCAGTTGTTGATGTTGCTGTTGTTGTTGTTGTTGTTTTTGCTGTTGCTAGTCTTGCTGTCGAGGTAATAATTAAGTCACATTACTGCCCTGTTAGTATGTTACGCAATACCTAACTACCAAAGAGAAAAAACACAGAAGCGTAGAAGAAAAAGAGGCTTGATCACCTCTATAAAACGTAAAATAGGCTGATTTTGGGGTATGAACTTTAATTCAGTCGACAGGAGGTACTGGCAAACGACAACTCAGTGAAATTGATCGTTCCTTGGCGATTTTGTAAAAACCAGGCTTCAGGACGGCGCCTACTAAATACAAAGGTTTTTGCGCTAGGCCAGGACCTGGCGGAAAAAGTAGATCTTTGCAGGGGTTATTGGAATCCACAATGAAAAAAGGGGGTAGCCACGCATTTTTCGAGATAATTAGCCTTTAATCTCAACAAAAATGCTGGCATCAGCCTTTTTTCTGAAAAAAAGAAGGAAAGGATATTTCTTCACAGATTTTCTTAGAATTTGCCTTTACATACAGAAAAGCAAACACATTTATAAGATCTTAATACTACATGGTAAATGGTAACATAAAAACCATTTTTGGTAGGTTTTTAATAACAAAATCGTTGCAACAGCGCTTTTAGTGTCTCTGACAGCCTTCCTCTGGTTCAGTTAAAAGACAGTCTAAATACCTTTTGCTCACAGCCAGAAACTAACCACGTGTTGAATAGGCTTGCCACTTCCATTTCATAACATAAAATATAGGGGTAACCACGCGATTTTTAAAGTTATTGATCTTTTTTAAAAGTTTTTTTACGTGCCCGTTACATTTTTTCCTGTCACCTTCCTAGTAAGTAAAACATTTGCGTATCTTGCACTTGTTTTGCGCGAGCTCCATGCCATCTGCAGGTTCATGATTACAGTTGGATTTCAATACAATTATCGACAGATAACAGCTAGTTTTTCAGCTGGAAGACGTTAACAGTTAGTGGTTAGCGACATGCTTCTAGTCTGGTGTGCCTGGTTTTTAAAGTACAAGTTCATTAAACTTGATTTGGTCACAGGAGGAAATATTTTCTTTCATTTCAGTCGTGTGCTTGGTAGCGTAGTTGATTGCGTCAATGTCAACCCAGTGTGCGCGGCACTTAAACCATGCCGTGCATAATGCGCAGAACGTGTGCGCACAAACAAAAGTAGGCACCGTCTTTAAATTAAGCAGTATTTTCAACTGTACAAGAAGATCTTTAACTTATCATGATGTTTATCATGTTCTTTAATGGGGCATTTTACAGTTGTCTGTTCAATGACCTGGCCCTTGAAGGACAGTGAGGTTTCATGTCACCTTGTTTTCGTAAAGACCTCACTGTTTTTGTTGTGTAAATCAACTGGTGTTCTTATGCCAAATGGTTGGCATTCAAATGAGAAAAGCAGAGAGGTTTGTATCAAAGCAAGGTCACCTCCAGCCTCGCGGAATAATGGCTATATGCAAGTGTATTTTAAACCATTGACAAATTTTATATTCGTCTTCTACAAAATAGCAATTTAAATGACCCTACCAATTAAATTTCGTGTAGTTGCGAGAACGTGAGCCACGACGGCTAATTTTTCGTATTTCTTTTAATTTGGAATTGTTCGCTGGCATCCCATAGTAGCTTTAAATTAGTTCGAGTAGGTTTTTAAACCGATCGGCTTATGGAACAGTGCTAGATAATTGCTAAATTCGAAGTAAGATATAAATCCAGTTTTACGAGGAGGTTTACTTGTCGTCGCTGTTGTCATTGCTAAAGCTTCCCAATGGTAGAGGGCAAAACCTGGTTTTGAGACTATGGTGAAGACGGAGCTCGCTAGTTTTGGCCGGTTGCCATCGATAACCTAGCCCAACCAAACCTAATGTATTCTAGCCTCATATTCTAGCCAAACGTTACTCGTAGCCTCATTACTTGATTCCTGACCAAGATATACAGCGAAGACAACCTGTCAAATAACCAGCATCGACATTACCTGAGTAGCAAAGATGGTATGTAGTGTTCTTGTGTAACTCATACACGTAATAAGAACTACAGTTCTTCACTTTGATTAGGTTCTTCCATGGGCAGCAAGATTTGTTACCACTAAAGCAGACTTGACGAGTCACTGCGCCTTCGGTGACCGTCGGGTGTGAACCACGAAGCCAACCTTGGTACTCAACACCGTAGTGTCCTTTGGAATCACATTTGTCTTTTATCCGATCCGCGACAACTCCTTGGAGACGGTACCAACCAGTTACCAGCTCCGTTCTATCGCATGTCCTGTTACTCTGCGATACGTCTCCTTGAGTGTGGCCTGCTTGACGCAAAACCGTGTAATTTGTACAGCCAGCCACTTTAAATAGAAACATAACATTTAGTATAGGTAATCATACGGTTTCGAGTTCAGTTTGGAATTAATTTGTACGAGTAAGTTTTTCAAAAAGCTGAAATTGCAGGAGCCGCTTCGGCGAGTGCAATTTCAGTTTTTTTTTAAAACTGACAAGAGCTAATTAATTTCAAATTGAACGAGAAAAACCGTATGATTACTTATTATTAACATAAACATGAAAAATTGCGTGGAGGAATTGCCGGAAGATCTTTCTTGAAGCCATTTGTTCTCATTCGAGAAAACTTTTTTCAAAGTTTCTGTACTAAATTTTCGTCATCATTTTATGTGATATCATTGGCTTAGAAAATTTCCTATTTTCTTTCAGCCAATCATAACCTAGAATTACGATGTGTAATTTGCACTGGTGTTACACATTTTGCACTGATGTTACACTTTTTGCACCGGTGTTACACTTGAACTGCACTGCTCTCAGCCATTCCGAATCGAGTAATTTTTTCATGTATATTATTATTTTAGTTAAAACTCTATATTTTTTGTTTGATGTGGATTTTGTTTTCCAAATGAGCTTTTAAAAAAACATGCTTTTTAAAACCTTTTGAAGTTTTGCAAGATATTTTTAAAGTTTACATTTCGCCTCTTATTAAATGAATACAACTTACAAGCACCAGCATTGCCGCAATAACGAAAACTGCAATAAGGCATCCTCTGTAACTCATACACGTAATAACCACTACAGTTCTTCACTTTAACCATGTTACTCCGCCAACAGCAGTTATGTATCCCGCTATAACAGACTTTACGTGTAACCACACCTTCGGTGACAGTCGGGTGTTCACTATTAAGCCAACCTGAATGTTTAGTACCGCAGTGTTCCATGAGAACACATTTGTCCGGCATCCGATCCCCAGCAGCTCCTTCGAAACGGTACCAACCAGTTACCAGGTCCCTATGGCATTTCTGATGGGGCGACGACGTGTTTCCTTGGGCGCGGTCTGCTTCACTTAAGACTGAGTAATTTTTACAACCATCCACTTAAAGAAGAAACATAAAAGGATGGTTAACCATTAATTAACCATTTTGTCGTGTTTTTTTTTTTCCTATTTTTATTTACTTTTTATTTAACAATATTTGTCATTGCTTTCTCAAGAGCACCTAGGCTTACCAAGGGGGATTACAATGTTGCAATCTTTACTTCATTTATTCAGGCTCACACACAAACTCAAACACAAACAACACACAACAATTGTGCTGAAAACAACGAGTTAAAGTTCAATTTTATCTTAGCCTTATTATGATTCGCACTGTCATACTTATTTTTAGAGTTAAACTAAATATTTAAGCTCATCATATATTTTACATGCAAATCAGTTATACTTCCCTTCTAAGGCTAATGCATTAGTGGAACTTACAAGCTTCGGCACAGCTATACAGGGAAACCTTTATTAAGCGGTTAAGCGGACGCGAGGTCTTGAAAATGCTGCCCGAGGCCCCAGGCCTCGGACAGCATTTTCAAGCCCGAGGTCACAGTTTTTGACTATACGGACCGACCCTAAGCCGGAAAATAACATGTATTTTTCCTGCGGTAAATTGGCTTACAACTGGGTTTGTTTACGAAACTTTGTCATTAAATTGGCATACATACCGTCTACAAACCATCGTAAAAAATCAAACGAGCGAACGAGCGAGTACCTCAGTTAGTAGACAAAGAAAGATGTATTAAAGAACAGATTAATTTCGAACTACTTTACGTTATTTGCATCTAGTTCACCAGTTAAGTTCTCCAAAATTGTTTTTCCGGCGTGAAGTTTCGTGCAAAGTTTGAAGTTGTACTGCAAAAAACAATTTCTAACAGTCGTTACGACTCAGTCGAAATCAGAATTTTCTACCGTGAATTGAGTGGCAGAAAGCAAGGAAATCCGTTAAGTGTATTCCACAGAAATTCTCTTAAATACAGCAACGATCAGAGAGGTAAATTCGACTGCAATTAACCTTTGTTTTGCTTAAAACTGATTCTAAAGATTAATGCAGCCAATCAGGAACACGAACGACAAAATTTCCCAGTGAAAAAATATCGTTCGTCCAATCAGCAACGCAAACGACGAAATTTCACTCATGATAAATGAACTTATTATATCTCTCAGTTAGTACGCGCGCTGTGATTGGTCAATTTAGCGGGCCGTGGTCTACTGTACGGCCCGCTAAAATTTAAAGCTGTTTTTGCTGCCAAAATGTTTCGTGATTTATCGCCAAGAGTTCTTAAGAGTGCCTGCCTGTCAAAAATTAGACAAATTCTTAATTTCGCGGCAAGAGTCGAAAATTCGATTTCGCTCATATTCCTATGGTAGACAGGCTAGGGCATGACAAAAACTACTGGATAGT